AGGGACCAACCCTGTGCTTTCAGAGGCAGAAGCACAGTAACCCACACTAAATCTGTTCTACTCTTGGTTTCTAATACTGATTGAAGTGATATGAGGCACATTTTCATAAATCCTTATGATTTCTATTTTTTTTCCCCACCAAAACATAGGACAACTTGTTTTGTATCTCATCAGAATTGTCACGTTCTCAGCCACCTTAAGATGCAGAGCACCTATAATGCCAGCCAACCAGGCGAAAGTCACCTACACTAAGAATGTAAATTGTTTAGAAATTTTAAATACGAAAAAATAAGTTCAATAAACAGTCATCAGTTAAAAAATAAAATCAATCATCTCATGTTCCAGTTTCTTATGCTGGTTTCTTCCCATTGATCTCAGTGGTGCTGAACAGTATGTGGGTCATAGGACTGCTCTACTGGTATGGAGTGGTTTATGCAGTCAGAAGAAGACAAGTCCTGGAAAACTGCAGCTGCAAACAATGTCACATACAAAAGTTACTCAGCATGACATGGTGCGGGCATCCTCTGGATGAACAAAGCTTAGCAGAAATTTGTGTTTATGTACAGGTAGCTAGAATGATAGAAACTCCACAGATTCACTGCAAGGTATTGTCATCTTTGGAAGTCATCTATTTTGATAAATAATTTTTCATTTTAAATATAGTAATGGTTGCTATGCCTTCTTGAGCTGTATTTTAAGGAGCTGCACAAGCGTGAATGTATTATCCATGCATGTCATCTGTGGTTGTACTGTTGCTTTGACTGAAACATTTGAGGATGTGGAGGTGGAGTGGAGCCAGAATCTAACAGTCCATAATGGCTATGTCAGACCTAACAGGCTGAGGATCCATGCAGACTTCTCTCGCTGAAAGCATTTCTGCTCTCCCACCCTTCTTCTGGGTCAGGTACAGGGGATGCTAATCTTCTTCTGACCTATTTCTGCTGCTTCTCCTTCTTCCTACTCTTTCCTGTTCTGAGTAGCTCTGGCTCTTTTCTCTTTTCTCCTCCTCTGCATTGTCTCATCTGTCACCCACCTCTCCATCAGCCTTCCACTCTGATTTCAAAGCCTGTCTCTCCCTCCCCCTCCCAGCTTTTCCCACTTACTTGCATGATTTCAGCTTTCAAGCTGATGTGCGAGCTGCACATTTCCTTACCCATTTCTCTTTTAACCCATAGTTCTAGTTCATCTCTTTTACTTGCCAAGGACTTTTCACTTGGTTTTCCTGAATTACTGATTCCTCTGATCTCTGTTGAACTTCTGTCCCCAGTGCTGACTTCCGAAAGCATTCGTGACTCCCTCCCTAAATACAGATGCTCAGCACACCCTAGCACAGCCATGATGTGTCTCTCCTGCTCCATCAGCACCAGCCACCTCAGAAATCTGGTTTCTTAATCCTGCCCTTCTTTATCGATACAGCTGTCAATTCCCACCAAGTTTCATGCTCTAACTCTCCACACCTCTCTTCTGAATGTCAAGGTTTGTCCTAGCAGTCTGCACCCTTATCCCTTTGCCAACATCTGCTCTTTCTGATCTTCCTCTCCTTCTATGGAGAATTGCTAGTGGAAATCCTACAGCAAGGCTGACAGCACTGATATCAAATTCATTCCAAATTCTCGTGTACATTCCTTTCTTAAATTCGTTCGAGAAGAATTCAGCAAATTACTCCATCTAAACGCTCACCCTCTGCAAATCTAAATAACTCTCCTAAAATCACTTCAAGAGAAACTTTATTTTCAAATGAAAGTTTAAGGGTACCTGAGCTCTTTAAGCAGATTTATCAAAGAATGAAAGAATGAATCAAGTCCAAGCTTGGCACATGTGGAGGCAGCTCCTAGTGGATTTGAGATAGCAACAAGAGAGCAGATCAAGCCTTTTGTTCCCAAACACGTAGCCCAGCATGACTACAGCAGTGGAGTCAAGTTCTTAGGGCCTGATTTTTTGGCATCCTCAAGGGCTCAAAAGCAGAGGGAACAAGAAAACCATTTTAAATAAACGTATTTGTCTCAGTTTATTTTAGGGACATATTAGGCTCTGATATTAGTTACCATGAGGTCATTCTTATTACAAGGAGCAACACATTTCTGGCTCTTTTCTGTTCCTTGACAACTGACTCCATACACCCATTGGCAGTATTTTCTGGTAGTACTGGCAAGCTCTTGGGTTTTCTTAGCACTGTCTAGATTTAACAATTCAATACAAATCGTGACCTTTTCAAGCCATGCTAAATAAAGCCAAACGGCCTTTCCCGTCTTATCCCATGGCCTTGATACTGAAAGCCCATGTATGGTCTGCGACAGGCAATGCAAGTCTGTGAATGCTCTTCTGGGCACAGTTCCTTAAAAGCAAGGGAGAGCTCCCCCTCACAGAGAGCACATGAGCTAAGTGTGCCTAATCTAATGCTCTCTGACCGAAGGGAGAGAATGCAATAAAAAGAAAGAAAAATAGAAAAAGGTTTTACTCTTCAAGAAAAGATGTTTCTCAGATATCTCTGAATAATGCTCAGAGGATATCAAGTTATTTAGTTATGTTCTTCCAACTTCAGTGATTTTATTCAGAATTGTTTGCCTGTTTTCTCATTTACCAAATATATATAACAAAAGCTTGCTACTCCACCATCTCTTCCATACGTGAAGGATTCAGTCACATATGAAAAAAAGCCTGAAGCTCTGCTTTACTGGGAGCTGAAAAAATGCATTAACAGAATCCAACCCAAACAACATCCTCCTGTATGCTCCTTTACAGTACAAAAGTGTGACATGATACATATATCAAATAGCACGGTAAGAAGATTTCAGCTGAGGTGGGGACAGAGTTCAAAATTCAAGGGCAAAACATAGAGAACATCTGATTAGCAACTATCTCCACTTTATACTGAGACAGTTGCAGTGAAAACACTTCTGCTGAGGGAAAATTGATGTGAGGAGAAGGACAAATTATCAAGCAGCAGATCCCTAACTTCTAGGTAAAAAAACATAAACCAAGAACTAAGCCCCACCAGGGGAGCCATGGACAACCAAAAGTACAAAGGAAGTAAGTTCCACCAGGCAGTATGTAACTAGGTCATTTGCAGATGTAGTCTCATTTTAATGCACTGTGCTGACCTTGAGGGGTCTAAAGAGTACACCAAGAAGGGCAACAAATCCAAATTAAGTAATTCTAAACCCTCTAAGTGATTAAGATCTCTGCTTCAATGTGGTCACTTAGCAGCAGGAAGATTGTGGACCTCAGCTGTGAAAGGCAGGCACACTCTGACTGAGAGGGATGAAAAGCCCCCCACTTTTCCTACTTTCTGGTAGGTTTTCCCAAGCTGCGAATGTCAGATACATTGTATTGATATCATTGAGCCAAGATTTGTCCTGCAGTCTAAACCAGATCTTGGATAGAGGCTTCAATAACACTTGTAGGCTGAAGACATGCAGAACTTGCAGATGATGGCACAGTGTAGCCTGTGTCTGCCTCCAGTCTTCCCCAAAGACCTTCTTTCATAAAAGTAGAAGGAGAAATGGGCTGTAAGTGCAGAATTTAGCAGAATGACCTTTAGGCTGAATAAGTAATTGTCTCACACCACCTTTAGAGAAATCACAACTTGGAAGTAGGTGAGTCACTTGAGAGTAGCCCTGTCCATTTTGGAAATAATGTACATGTAGGCAAAACCAATAAACAGCAAAAGCAAAGGGAGCTGACCATAGACTGTAACTGGGTATCTGCTTAGTAGTTAATTTCTTAATGTAGAGCCTTCTTCCCCTGCTTTGCTTGTCCTCCAATTTCCTTTTACCTTTACTGTAGCTGTAGGATGTAGATGCACTGTAGTAGGCAGGATCAAGCCATGAGTATCACACTGATACAATAACAGCTTCTTGAAAGATTTTAAGACACCTCTGGTTTATTTCACTTGCAGAGCTGGATTGTTTCAATTTTCTGTTTCTATTGAATACTATTGCGTGTGCCTACTCAGGTGACCTCGAGAAAACAGGAGTTGCCATAGAAAGTCAGATCCCAGGTACAGTAACTCGGCCAACCTGTCTCTAGGCACCCTTCAGAGGAAGGTTGAGAAATACCACAGTTATGCATTATTATATATGGGTTAAAAAGAAAAGAATTCCTTTCTCCTGAAGGAATCATTACGTGCCTTTTTGCATGAGGCTGTCCTTGTCTTACAATTGCAAATATTACTACTTTTTAAGAAGGATACATAGGTTTATAAAAGCAAATGGCAGAACGTGACTGTTGTCCTGAGACACAACATCCCACTTCACTGGTGTTGTGAGGTGAGAAGAAAGAATATGAGAAGTAAACAAGGGGTCATGAAATGTTTGCAGAAAAGATAAAGGATATGTGGTATCAAAGAAGCATTGTAAATAAAACAAAAGTTTACTGAAAAATAAAATGCTACAATGACCAAAGTAAATTAACTCTGTCACGTAAGTCAGGTGCTTGAACAGAAACTGCCCAAAGACTTAACTTAATGTTGTGTAAGAAAGGTTATTTCTGTTTTAGTTTAATTTTTCACAAACATTTGAATTTTTAAAAACAAACTTCAGAGTGTTTGGATTACTGGCTTATTCTGTAATCAATTTTACAGAAAGAAGTTATGAACTAGCAAAGAAAAAAGACACCATTCTATCGTTTCTGTTGCCACTTAAATACTGATGCAGGAAATCATTTGCCTATTCTCAATTTTATTTGATAGAACAAAAACCCTAAGCAATAAAACTAAGGTCCAATAAAAACATTTAGCTTGAAAAAAGGTTGAAAAATGTACCCTTGGAAAGACCACTGCTTACATGGGATTGTTCAACAAATTCCTGTTGTGTGAGGTTTGGCATATACTTTCTAAAAATATAAGCATCTGGGGAAACGAGACAAAGCCCAGGTCTTGGACCAAACGAGGCATGCAGCGTGAATCTGTTAGCGATTATATCCATAATGAAATATGTGCCCAAATTTAGCAGTACAAAACCCCCAATACAATATGAAAACACAGCGTGTACAGCCCTTACCACAAAATATAGCCAACAGCGAAGGTGCACACTGCAGCCAGTCCACAGGTCCTGCTGGGATACTGATGATGTGTTGTTCTCATCTCGATTAATACAAAGGGCAAAACTGTTGTATGCTGAAAAAACCAAAACAACGGGAAAAACAGGTGATACAAATGATTCTCACTGCATTTCCATGCTAGTTCTACAATAAGAAACTTAATCACAAAAACCTGAAGACAATTTCTGGATGGTTGGAAAGACAAGGTAAAATTACTCTACAAAGTTGATCAATAACCCAAACAATATTGTTGCTGTAACATCCAATTGTTCGAGAGAGCAGAGGAAAACCGAATGAGCAAAACATGCTTTTCCTTTTGTCCAGGAATCCAAGGCAGATACTCAGTGAGTAAAAAGGGGATGTGGCATGAGGGGACATGGGTCCCAGTCCCACTTTGGCCTTGCAGGTGCTTTTTATCTTTGCCACATCACTTTGGCTGTTTTGACCTTTCAAGTTGAGAAGCAACGCATCTGATTTTTAGAGACTCTAGACACACAAACAATGCCAAATGAATGAATATAAATGTAAGTATTTAATGCTTCTCAGAATTAGGTTTAAATGTATCTCAATCTGGGGACTTGAAAACAGGGGACCTGTTTTCAAATGATAGCCTCAATACCTCTGTTCCTCCATCTGTAAGATAGGAGCAATTATCTTCAGAAAGGTGTTGTGAATCTTAATTTGCTAGTTGTTGTGCAAAATGGTTTTAGATTCCCAAATGAAACGTATCAAAGCCAAAGCTGTAAAAACCATTTTCAGCCACTTGTCTTTATTTAGCTGTGAAACTCCTTATTTTGTCATTTTTCCATACATATTTCCTACACTGCCCCTTCTGAGAAGGTCTGTTCATCCAATTAATGTCAGAAGCATGAAAAATTGCATCTAGCCTGCCCTCAGCACTCGATGTCTAGATTTCAGAGTGCTGGCAGGCATGAAAATATACATAAGCGAAGCACAAACGTGACAGGAAATAAACCCCATTATTTCTGAATACACTGCTCACCTAGGACCAGCATTATTGGTGACTCCAGAAACACATCTTGCCTTGCCACCACAGGGCCAAGTTATTGTTGGTGTATAAAGGGAATTACTTTGGTTGAGAGCTTGGCTCTGGGGCTTGGTGTTACGGCGACTGCGAACTCTCCTGCGCAGTTCACTGGGAGGTCTGCAGGTGCAAGGATTGCAAGGGCAGCCTAAGCCTTAAACCAGGTTCAATCCTTCCCCGAGCACTTGATCTCCAACTGGAAAAGAAAGTTATGGCTCACGTTGGCCACGTTCTGCCATCAGATGCACACATGTAGTTCTCAGGGGAGCTGGAGGGTCAGATTTGTAAGTTTGTAAGAATTCTGCTGTAAACCCACGCCAATTTTCACCAATGTGAAGGCAGAACAGACATGGAGTCAAAATATCCTTGCATGGATAAGAGATCCAAATGAGAGGAAATAGAACAGGGTCTGAGCCTTTAACAACTGCAGAGAAGGAAGAAATATTTGAATGGGAAATGATAAGATAATGGAAATTCTCTGGCTCAGAGATGTAACGTAATTTGAATTGGATAACTGCTCTGATTTTCAAGGCATTAGTAATTAATGACCAGCATTTGGAGAATGTCAGGTGGATAATAAAGCAGTTAGGGGAGCTTTCAATTTCTTCATCTTTTAACAACTTGTTCCGCCCCCATCCCTTTAAACAGTATAAATCAGCATCAAGGGAATGCATATTTTACATGGGGCCTGCAATAGAGGTGCCCACTACTAGATGAGAGGCCTATAAACTGTGCAGGATCTTCAGAGTCCATTAACAGGGACTGACAGCAAAGCAAGCCCTGGAGATTCACCTGTATGTCTTACATCTGTATGGAAAAGGTCTTCAGGCAGAGATCAGTACCTCACTCTGCAGAGCCCCCAAAGCAGGGTAGCTGGAGGCTGTGCAAACAGAGGCTGTACAATCATCTCCTGCCCTGCCTCCATAACCTCTTCAGAGAAAAAAACAGAAGATGACAAAGACTTTTAACTCCAAACCCCACCCTTGATATTCCTTGTATGATGTATTTTTGTGATCTAGTCACTTAGTATTAACTCTTCGCTACACGGATGATGGTTACAGAGCTTGTGAGCTCCATTTCTCAATTGAAATGTTTACGCTTTAGATACTGCTTGTTGATGTGCTCTTCATTGAGGATAACAACTCAACAGCTTGCCAATTAAAAAGTAGTTAAAATAATTTCAGCAATCAACCCTTAATCTGGAGTCCTCTTCTCCTTTCCCTCCTCCCAGTTCCTGTGGTTATATAATAAAATAGGTCATTATTTTCCTAAATTCTCCCTTCTGCTCTTTTCTAAAGTAACGGGGGGCGGGGGGATGGCAGGGAGAGGATAATGAGCTGTATCACTGAAGAGTTCATGTACAAAATCCTATCAAAAGTAGACTGTAATTAAAGAGAGCAAATCAAGAGATGTATCTTTAATCTTCATCTGTTATAGCAAATGTTGATGCTACCTGCAAACATGGCAGTTTTACAAATCCAGAGTATGACCTTTGGTTTAAAATGTTCTAGTGAAACTGCCACCCTAAAAAGCTGTTTCAGATGTTTTACCCAAACTACAACCAAGATAAAATTTCCCTTTCCTACATTTCAGGGCCTCCAGAAACCTCAATTTAAAAAATTTAATTTTGTAGGCAGGGATACCTTCTGTCAAACAGTGCCAGTTAAAACTCTGGCACTATAAATACCAAATTTGAATCGGACTGACACCTGGACTGAAGCCTAGTGAAGGTGAGCAGCGGTCAAATGTGCTTAGAGTGGGATCCATCAGGGCTGGAACGCTGTAGGAGGCCATAGATACCCTGTAATGTTTTTGCCACCTGACCTCTGAATAAACTTGGGCCAATGGGAATCTGAAGCTTAGGGAGAAAATAACATTGATGCTTCCTTGACCTGCTTGTTAAAGATCGCACCATGCTGATCAAAGATGCCCGACTGGTATCTCTGGGAATGACCCCTTTTACTTACTGGCAGACTGGAGGACAGCATAACATTTCTCACCTTGTTTGTGAAAGTATCTCCAGGGGCTTACTTGAGAGAAGACTAAGGAATGAGGAAGTTCAAGTAACAAGGAGGTTTAAATGATGAGGATGATTAGCTGAAGTTAACAGCTTTCCAGTAGTTGTTATTTTGCACCATTTAAAGTCTTTAAGAAAAGGGCAAATTTAAAATTAAGAGTATAATGACTAGTATAGTATTATAATAGTAGTAAACTATGCTAGCACTAGTAATCAATGCTATATTAATAAGGTATTTTTATTATGGACTAAGTGTTTACAAGCAAAGCTGCATTTTTACCTGGACAGCTTATTCTGCTCCCACTAAGACCAGCTGCTCCTGTGAGACAGTTTTGCCTGTACAGCTGTTGGGACATTAGAGACTTGGGCTGAGCAATGCTGTGGGTACGTCAGGGAGCACCCTCTCCATCAGCTGGGAAGGTGACACTTGCTGCACTTGTGCTCTGGGGTGACCGAAGGCTCAGGGTAGCCCCCAGCCCTGTTGGGGCAGCAGCGAGGGAGCTAATGAACCCTACTGTTAGCAGGAACTCTCAGCTTGGGCTCAGTAACTCCATCTACTAGCAAGAAAATGTATCCTGTTGGCTTCTCCTGCCACAACCGAAGTGATGCTTGCCAAGGTGCCCTCCTGGCCACAAACCCCGTTTCTCCGGAGTGCCAAGACAGTGACCCTCAGACCCATTTTTAATCCCTCTCTGAAGGGATCCAGCTGCCAAGGCTGTCTTGTGAGCTGATGCGCGACAGTAAACCCCTGTTACCCGGCCACAGCATCGCCCTGCTCAGACCCCTCGTGCCCTGTCACTGCCTGTCCCTGCCGTGGGGGAGGCAGCTTTGACAGATCTTTATGCTTGCTAGGTGTGCTAGCAAGTGCTGGTCTCTGCAGAGCAGCAAGCTCCAATTTCGTCCCCATTTTGTGTCCACCACACGATGAGGTCCCATCACCTATAAGTGGGGAAGAAATTGGAGCTTGCCAAATCTTCAACTGCTGGTAACGATGCATGAAAACAGACAGAAAACAGCTCAATGCACAGAGCTCAGATGCAATTTGCAGGACGGTTATAATATGGAGAATTTGATCCAGAAAACACTCTGGAGACTGACTCCAAAGGAGCAACCTCAGAGTGAAACTGAATTTGCATATGCTGCAAAAAAAGCCACCCCGAGAGCTGCAGGTGGATTAATTCCTAGAACCACTGCCACAGCTTTCTGAGAGAAACTCCGCTCACTAATACTCTTTAAAAGATATTATGAAAATACGTACCACCCCCCACATGGTATATATGTGCCTAACGACATCTGAGACTGGAAAATCACGTTACAAATAGG